CCTGCATTCAGCAAGAATCCCCCTGCCTTGATGTCTCCTCTTAGTAATTTTGCATCCACTGACATGCCCCTTAGTTATAAATTCCCACTTATTCTTGCAATTGTATTTGGAGTTGAACTTGATCTTTCTCTCCTTATGCAATAATCTTGACACCTATCCCAAGAATCCTGAATAAAATCTTCCTTACCATTTTCACAAATGTCAGAATCATTTTTTTGCTAACACAGATCAAAGCCTAAATATCGAGGTTTTCAAAAGAAGTTAATGCTCATAAGGTGTTTAATATGTGCCAAGATGCTGTTTGTTCTAAATGCTAAATCTGTTCTGTGGGGCGCCTGGGTGGCTCAGTCATTAAGTGTCTGCCTTCGGCTCAGGTCATGATCCCAGGGTCCTGGGGTCAAGTCCTGCATCAGGCTCCTTGCTCAGTGGGGAGTCTGCTTCTGCCTCTGCCTCTGCCCCTCCCCCCAGCTTATGCTCTCTTCTCTCTCTCAAATAAATAAAATCTTTTAAAAATAAATAAATCTATTCCTCACAACATCCCAGTGAGGCAGTACTATTATTATTACCCTCAATTTACGGATTAAAGGGGTTCCCTGAGAGGTTAAGTTACTTGCCCGAACACACAGAGCTAGAGCTAGCTAGTAGAACTGATACTCTAATCCAGGAATTCTGGCCCCATGGTCCATGTTCTTAAACACAATGCCAACCTGCCCTCAGAGGACTAAAAATTAGGTTGGGAAGTCTACTCAGTGTTCTTAGAGCGAATTTCTCAAATGTAGCTGCCCTCACAAGCCCAGGTAAGTAATACTGACTAGGAAAGCAAGGTAGGGGAACGCATCACTTGGAAAGTCCATGCTCATCAAGGTGGCCAGCCCTCATCATCACCACCTAGTGGTTGCTGTCCAGTACTGCATACCTTCTGAGTCTGTAAAGATTAACAAAAAGAGAAATCTGACTTTTTATGAACGATCTCTTCAACTTGAAAAAGAAAGGGGAAGGGGAAAGAGACTGGAGGGCGGGGAGAAAGGGAGGGAAGAGAAGGGGGAAACCACGCAGTGCACACACCCTGCCTCCTGCCCTCTAGCACATGTGCATTTGCTCACTCGCTCTCCTCTCTCTCTCTTTCTCTCTCTCACACACACACACCTGCAGCAGGGATTCATTCAGCCTATGGACTGCCTGTTTGTAATTTCATTTTTAGAGGTTATTAAACCTTACCTTAGTGGACTCAGCTTGATGTTAAAAGATATATACTCCTTACTCTAAACCACCAAGTAATTACGCTTTTAAATGTCCTGTTTGTCTGACCTATTGGACACTACAGATTTCTGCTTTTGGTTGGAGAGAGGAGGTGAAAAGAGGGGAGGTGGGGTTTTTTCTGGGTGCATGAAGATGCTGTGACAATTACTTTAGCAGATTTGCTTGAGAGAAGTGTTGATTTCTTACCTACCCATAAAACAAGAGATTTTGAATTACAGGTATTAGCCAAGGAATCTGGTTTTTCTTTTTGATTCTTGAGTTAATGGATAATTTTACCTCTATTAGCAAACAAAAGAAAACACCCTTTCAAATTTAAACTAGTATAAGCAGCTAGCTATTTGGAAAATGGAAGTCAGTGCAGTGAATTCTGAGAGTTTTCTGAAATCCATCATCTTTTTCTCAGTCTTCCAACTTCCCTTGCTGAACTTTGAGCTATTTATGTTTCACAGTCGTCTTTGGCAAACTAGGTTTCTTGGCCCCCCTTGCAATAGAACACAGGAGATGTTCCGTACTCCTGGCTTCTTGAAACCTTCCTGCTTTGGTAGCAGGTGTCCACTGTCCTTGCTTTTAATTGTCTAACACTGAATTACAGATAAAGTTTCATAAATAAGATACAACCATTTTCTTTCAAAAATAGCACTCTTTTAAATTGTGTTTTGGTTAATATTCCATGTCATGGGTTAAAATTTCCTATTGGAAGTTTGGCAGGGCTTTAATAATGGCCATTTTGGAGGGAAATGGGATCAATTAACACCTCTTTATGCACAAGACTTTGCACCATCTCCTGTGGAGTGAACAGAAAAGAATCAATAAGCCTGTCCCCTTCCCTCCTGGAACTTGAAGTCCTTTTGGAGAAATAATGACATTTATACAAGTAACGCAGGTACCAAAACAGTGCATGAGAAGAACCCAGATAACCATAGCTGTATGATCTTAAAAAGAGAAAGAGACTTGGGCGCCTGGGTGCCTCAGTTGGTTAAGCGACTGCCTTCGGCTCAGGTCATGATCCTGGAGTCCCGGGATCGAGTCCCACATCAGGCTCCCTGCTCGGCGGGGAGTCTGCTTCTCCCTCTGACCCTCTTCCCTCTCATGCTCTCTATCTCTCATTCTCTCTCTCTCAAATAAATAAATAAAATCTTTAAAAAGAAGAGAGAAAGAAACTTTATGACTTGAAAGCTTTAGAGGCCTTTAGAAAGAAAATAAGATTTAAGTGGAGTCTTGGAGAATGGGTGGTAGGCTTTTTGAGGATGAGGAGGGCAGAGAGTGGGAGGAAAAGCGTACTAAAGGCAGATGAGAAAGGAAGAGAGGAGATGGGCTTGGGGCCCAGCAAGTGATTGCAACAGAAAACTCCAGTAAGGAGGAAACCTGAGGAAAGGGTTTGAGTGAGCAGAGAGCAGTCAAGACCAAGGATGGGTCGGGAAAACATTCAGCTGGTTAATTGCATAATGAAGTTACAAGGAAGAGCTGACTTTGAAGAGAAGATAAGTTGGATATACATTTTAAAAATCAGATATACTTCTAAAAATTCAGTCTTTGAGTACCTCCATCTCTCTTTTTGTGTGTTCAACTCATCACACTCCCTCCATTAAGACCTAATATGTCTTATTCTCCATATTTTTAGAATTTATATATTCATATACAAAAATGTCTGTGCACACAAACACACACACAGTGTGTGTTTTAGGTCATTGTGTGTTTAGGTCAGTGTGTGTTTTAGTGTAGTATTTTAGGTCACTGTTTTACAAAAATGAAAACATACATATTCTTTTCCTTACCTTGCCCTTCTTGCTCAGCCATACCTGGGGGAAATCCCTCCCAAGTGAAAACTTACAGCCTAAATAGCTGTTTTCTTTTAATGATCCCATAACACTCTACAGTAGAGATATGTCGTGATCTGTTCCAGTATTCCCCCCATTCATGGAGAGCGTTTGTTTCCAGTTTTTTGCCCCTACAAATAGTACTTCAGTAAGCATACTTGTATCTCTGTCTAGATATGCTGGTACTTGATTTCTGTGGATAGAGTTAGGATCACTGAGTCAAGGACATGTGTATTTTTCGCTTTCAAAACTAAACTGCTTCCCTAAGAAAGCTGTAACAGTACCCAGTTTGCACCTACAATTAATAAAAATACTGCTTTTCACTAGGTCTCCCCAGGCCATAATGTTATAGCTCTTTTCTTTATAAAAAGTTTTTGGAAGTGCTATTGATGTAAAGTAAAATCTCATTTTTACTTTATTTGCATTCCTTTGACTACAAATGAATTTGATCATCTTTCCATGAGCTTGCTGAGTGGGTTTCCTATCTTGCAAGCTGCATTTTTGCATTCTGTGTCCATTTTTCCAATGAACTATTTCGTTTCCCTGTAAATTTTTTTTAAGAGAGAGAGAGCACACACGCAAGCCAGCGTGCGAGTGGGGGAGGGGGGTAGGGAGGAGAGGGGCAGAGGGTAAGGGAGAAAGAGAATCTTAAGCAGACTCCATGCCCAGTGTGGAGCCCCACACGAGGCTCAATCTCATGACCCTGAGCCAAAATCAAGAGACGCTTAACCAACTGAGCCACCCAGGCGCCGTCTCCTGTAAATTTTTAAGAGCTTCTGCTATATTATAGGTATTTTTACCTGTCCTCTAGGGTTTTAAACATTTGTATTTCAAATCTATCGTATTTGTTTATGGTATCTTTCGCCATACAGAACTCTTGGTTTTTTAAAAGAGTTTATTTATTTATTTGACAGAGAGAGAGAGCACAAGTAGGCAGAGAGGCAGGCAGAGGGAGAAGCAGGCTCCCCGCTGAGCAGAGAGCCCGACGCGGGGCTCGATCCCAGGACCCTGCGATGATGACCTGAGCCTAAGACAGACGCTTAACCCACTGAGCCACCCAGGTGCCCCCAGAACTCTTGGGTTTTTTTTCAATCACTTATGTTTATGGTTTTTCTTATAGTTTCTGTATTTTCTCCCTTGCCAAAAGAAGCCTACTCTCTCTGCCCCTAGATTATGTTTCCAAGATTTTCTTACAGGATTTTTATTTATTTAATTGTTTATTTTACATTTTAACCTTTAATCCATCTAAATCCATCTGGGATTTATTTTTGGAGTTGGTGTAAGATAAAGATCTAGTTTTCTTTTCTTCCAGATGCATTAACAGTTTGCCAGCTCCTTATATTAAATAGTCCATCATTATGCCACTAAATTGAAATGCCTCTTTTGTCATATATTAAATCTTCATTTATATGTGGATCTATTTCTAGATACTCTATTTCACATATCTGTTCAGGCCTATTTAAATACTTACTGATTTGATTTACAGTAGCTTTATAGGATTTTCTGGTAGCGGGTAAATCAGACTACACAAATGACTTTTGGATAGTTAATCATGTGCTTAGGTAAATGCATTAAAAACCTATTTGCTAGACAACAATGGGATGCAAGCAGATACTAATGCACCAAAATAATACTTGTACAATTAAAATATTTTTTCAAAATCTTTCTTCCCAAGATCTATTTTTATATCCACAGATAAAGGAGAAAAAGGTTTAATGTGCTTGTAAGATCTTGTACAAACGACCAGTTGGTGTATTTCAGTCCTTAAATGCTGTATCGTATTAATGATACCGTTTCCCTCATTCGCAGATTGATCCCTCAGAGGAATCATCCCTGACTGAGTCTTCACTCTGAGCTAAGACTGGTTCTCAGAGGGAGCACTGCTCCGGAGAGAGCCCTGAGGTTTTCCTGAAGAAAAATTCCATGGGGACTGTACCTGACCCTTTGAGATCGGCTAAAACTTCCTTGATCACAGCTTCTGGAAAAGAAGAGGATCTAGGAGAAGTGCAGCCTGCCTCACCTCGGCCTCGACCAGCGCTCCTCTGTAAGAACACCAATGGCCTCTCTGGCCCTCCTGAAGAGCCAGTGCTCAGCCCCAGGGCAGCTGCTGAAGCCTTGATGCAGGCCTTCGAGCATGAGACCACCCAGCTGGACATGTCTTCTCCTGGTGTCGTCAATGAGGTGGAAAAAGGGTCTCCTCCATGCAACTCTCCTGGCAATACCCAGCTGCCAGGAAGCAGCAAGCCCACAGCACCAGCTCCGTGTTCTGCAGCAGGAAAGGATGTTCTAGGCGAAGCATTTACAATGCCAGCCAATCAACACAGCCACCAGGCCATCCCGGGTGACCAGCTCAATGCCAGCCCCTCAGCAGGACCTGAGGATACACTGCTGAAAACACAGAGAACCTCAGATGGGGAGCAACCTGAAAAGTCAAGTTGTCCTGTGGGCAGCACCCAGGGCAACAGCAAAGCTCAAGTGTCCTGTGATTTTCCTTCTCAAGAAACAGCCCAGGGACTGGTGCAAGCTGGAAATACAGCAGCCAATGTGTTCAGCCACACCTCCCCTCCTATAGGCAGACCCAAAGGGGAAAGGCCAGGAGCCGTTCATGACTCCCAGACGAGGGCCTGTGAATCTCCAGCGAGAGAAGATGGATGTTCTGGGCACAAACAGCCCTCGGCCGCCACCTCGGATGGCCAGGCCGTGACTTCGGTGACACCCCAACCATCCCACCTCACTAGCCAAGGGTCCACATTTCCTCCAGATCTGGGAAAGGTGCCACTGCCCTCACAGCACCAGGTGTCAAGGTTCAAAGAAGCAAGTACGATGACCAGCCACGCTGCAGGTGAGGTTCGGGAAGTTCCCAGCCGGGCTCGGCAAGATGCTGAGGTGCAGGCCGTGGCAAGTGTCGAGAGCAGGTCCGTCTCCACCAGCCCCAGCATCTTCACTGCATTCTTAAAGGAAGTCCCCGTTCCTGAGCATGTGGAACAACAGGAGCAGCTGCGTGTTGTTTGCCATGGCAATGGCCGTGGGAGCCACACACTGGAGCTGTCTGACGACCTCCTAGCCCCGCAGGAGTCGGGCCAGTGCCCTGGAATCATGCCGGAGGTGCACATCCAGGCAGCTGCGGCTGTGTCCACTGCTTGCAGAGGGGAGCGTAAATTGGTGAGCCTACCGGCTGAGGTCCTTCAAATCTCCTCCATCACGGTGGCATCCGGTAAGGCTCAGGATATGTGTAAGGAAGACGGAGGGTCAGCAGGCATGACCCCGACAAGGGCAGAGCCCACCTCCAAACAGCTTTCAGGTGTGAATTCTAGCTCCCGGAAAGCTAGCCCCGCTGACCAGATTGCTAGCAGCACAGGAAGTCAAACTGAAACAGATCATGAATTGGGGAAATCTGAAATCAAGCCATCTGAGTCTGCAGTGAAAACCACAGATGGTCCCCGAACAAACCCAGATTGCAAACTCTCTGACTCTTGTGGCCCTGCCAGCAAAGCCGACCAGTCCGGGAGCTCGGATCCCACTGATAAAGGAGATGCAAGAGAGCCTGCATCTCCGCACATAGTACAACAGCAAGAATGCCGGGGCACCGATAGCCTCGATCCCAGGGCAAGGGTAGAGGCCAAGTGCCTGCTGCTCAATCCTAAATCTCAAGAAAGTGCAGGCACTGGATCAGCTGCCAGTCCTACGCCATCCCCAGTTAGGAAGAACCAGGAGGGTACCTTGGAAGAAAACAGACAGACCAAGACAGCCACCAGCCTGAGCCTGCCGTCTGATGCCATGGGCGACTCCAGTCCAGGTTCCGGCAAGAGGACCCCTTCTCGCTTGGTCAAAGCCAGCCCGCGCCGGGCCAGCCGTGTCAGCGAGTTCCTCAAGGAGCAGAAGCTGAATGTGACAGCGGCGGCCGCGCAGGTGGGACTCACCCCGGGAGAGAAGAAAAAGCAGCTCGGCGCCGACTCCAAGCTGCAGCTGAAACAGTCCAAGCGCGTCAGGGACGTCGTGTGGGACGAGCAGGGCATGACCTGGGAGGTGTACGGTGCCTCCCTGGACCCGGAGTCCCTGGGCATCGCAATCCAGAACCATCTACAAAGACAAATCAGGGAACACGAGAAATTAATCAAAGCTCAAAGCAGCCAGACCCGGAGATCCATTTCCTCAGATACTTCTTCAAATAAAAAGCTCAAAGGAAGGCAGCACAGGGTCTTGCAGTCCATGCTGCAGAACTTTCGACGCCCCAACTGCTGTGTTCGTCCTGCCCCTTCTTCTGTGTTAGACTGAAAGGGAACGTGTTTGGGGCCCCTCGTGTGCAGTCACGGTATTCCCGAGGGTCTGTGTATGTCAGAGCTTACTTAGTGTTTTTTCCGAGAGACCAGGAAGAGAAAGCAAGTATTAATTATAGGCAGTTGCCATGAAGCATGGTTGGGTCCTTTGATTGGGGCTCCCTAAATAAAAATATTTCAATTCGAAAGAAAGGACGAGAGAAGAGAAGAAAGCTTCCCTGAAGGTTCATGACCTTGATTAAGAGGAAATAATATTCACTGGGTTTTTTTTATTGTGATGTTGCTTCTGGAACTAGCATTATCCATTAAACATGTGTCGTTTTGTATTACTGCCTCAATTTATCACACTGTGGTATTTCCATTAAAATCCCTGCTTAATATTAAAAATAGCAAAAACACTACTAGCAAAAACACTGTTAGACTTTCTAGTCGTATTGCAATAAGAATGCCACGACCACACAAAATTTAAATAGATAAGAACTAAAATGTAAAAAATGTGAAGAAAATTTTGACTCACTCTTAGGCCAGATGACATTAAGTAAAAGCATGTAAATGCATTAAATACCAAACATGAATTAATATTTGTAAACATCCTGCAGATAGCTGTTTTTGTAAACCTTGTTATACTGTTAATAAATGTAAGAAAGTTATGTTAGGAAAATTAACCAAGATTTTGAGTATGAATACTATCCATATAAAACATGAATTTATATATACAGATTTCCCTGCACTGAAGGCAAGGGGCATCTCTGATTCTGACTAGATTAAATTCGTATTTCTTTAGAGGAAGTATATCAACTGAATTCTTGGAAGGAGTCATCGAATAATTAATAATACTAAAGTGTGTGTTGTGCAGGTTCTCCAAAAACATTCTACTAAGAGTGTTAAGGTTTCGGCAAGGAATTATAAATAGCCAGTTTACCAAACACTCTCTTTTCTGTGTTGAAAAAAAGAAGTAAGGAAAAGCAATATATTTAATTTTGACTCCTGTAAACAGGATGCAGTTTCTATTTTTCTTTTGACTTGCTTGTTCAATAGTTACTTGTTCAGTAGCTTCTAATAGAAAATATAGTCAACACCAAATGGAAGAGAAGCGTCCTCACAGTTTTTGATATGTAGACGAATATCATCTAATTGCTAAGTTTCTCATCTGTAGTAAAAAGGTAACCTGTGTGAACTTACTGATTTTAAGAGAAATACCATCGTATCTCATCCTTCAAATCCGATAAAAGAGGCCTTTACTAAAATGTGGTTTGAGCTTCAGATGGGCTATAATTTTTGAGAATATAGACACCTGCCTGCACCTGTCTCCAGAGGAGGAGCGTGTCCTTCATACCCACAAGTGTCTTGCAGGGCACTGGGCTGGGATGACCAGCAGTGGCTTGAGAGCTGGGGGAGTGTGGAAAAGGGAAATGAGATAGGGCCCTGGAAAGGTTTCCCCTCCTAGATTCATTGTAGGGAGATCGCTGCTCTCCACCTTGCATTTAGAAAATCAGATTGTTCAACGTGGGAGAGGTGCTTACTGGTTACCTTGTCTGAGCTCATTCCCCTTGATGAGCCGGAAAAGAGTGTCTGGCCATGCGTTCTCTCTCTCTGGAGACTCAAAAAATGCCATTTGTGCAGGAAGCTCACAATCTCTGTTTTGGCCTTTTTTTTTTTTTTTTTAATTCTCTTTTGCAGATTCTGCACATATAGGGAAAAATCATACCTGAACTTTAACACCATATGCTAAACTGGGCACAACCCAAATTAGTATATAGCCATTGGTTTCTTTCAAAGCAATTGGAGTGTGTATGAGGACTGCCTAAATAGCCTCCAGTCACAGCGCTCCCAGAAATTACAGTTCTTATACTTGGAACTTAAAATGAATTTTTTTAATGAGGTGCCTTTATCTGTTTCTTACCAATTGGCCTCTTTTAAGAGCACTACCTGAAGTTGAAATTGCCATCAAATGAGCAATCAAATTACTACGAATGGTGAGAGATTTAATCTAAAACTCTCTCTTTTGGCCTTGAATACCCATTTGTAGTAGCGTTCGTGTGGCTTTTGTTGGAGACGCCTCTGCCAGGCTATAATCCACTCCTACCCCTTCCTGCCTGCCTCCCTCCCTCACACGTTGCATGCATGCTGTGTATCCACAGAGAACACCCTGTGTACACAGTAGCAGCTCTCAACAGTACCCGCTCCAGATGGGTGGGCCCCAGGTAATCCTGTGCTGGGAAGTGGCTAGAACAGGCTGTTCCTGCATTAAAATAGTAGAAAAAGAAGACTTTAGCATCTGGTAATACTTATTTTCATGAGTTTGGCGTAACCACGTGAATTATAAATAGCTAAAGTTAAATTATAAATTTGTAATTCCAGATTTATAAATTATAAAATTTATAAATTATAAATAGTTCAAGTTAAAAATGAGGCAGAGGCCTGAGTTGTCGGCATTTGTCGCACATGAAACAAATTAAGAAAATTGCATTGAATTACTTAAAACTAAATTTAGTGTTGCGGTTGTGCCTCTCAAAGTTAAGTCTTCCTGTTTGATGGAGTACCTTTTACTGGTTTTCTTTGGTACTGGAACTAGCCTTTCCTTCTTAAGCTTTAATTGTTTAACTCTTCACCTTTACTTCTCCCACACTCCAGAGATTGTCACAAAATAGTACAAAACCTTTCTTGTTTGGTTGTTTATTGATTCTTCAGGAAGGAACAGCTTTTCAAAACACTGGTGAACGAGACCATCAAATGGCTAAATAAGGAGCCTATTGAAGACAAGCCATGCTTTTGCTTTATGATACCCTAAGTACTCACCGCATAAAACCTTGATGTGAAGATTTTCCTTCCCTTCAGTCTGTAACACACCATTGACATTCAGTACATCGGTTGTGACTCCTTGGGTTCATTCAACAAATGAAAGTGCAAAACAGTTTTCGTGGCAGATTCTTTCAGCTTGTTTGGCTCTACCTTGGCTTACCTGTATGACACACACCAGTTTGAAAGTTGGTTTTGTCCTTAATTTCTTTTAGATGTTTTCCTCCTCCTAAATGCTTTTTAGTCATTGGAATATATGGAGGAAATATCTTATTGGGTAAATAAATATAAAATATTTCTTAAGCCAGTAGTGTAATAGAGATGGATTAGAACACAGTGTCTGGAAGATAATGAGACATTAGGACGCTTTACGGCGTACCCAGTGAATACTAGAATTTAAATATTGATTTTTTTTTCTATTTTAATGACCACAAGAAAAATGTCATTGCTTCAGCTGTCATATGTTTATCTTCAGTGCTCTTTCTGGATTATTGGCTTTGATGCCACAGAGCAACTGCTTTACATCCAGTAAAACCCTCATTTATGTTTGTGTTTTGGACCAATGGCATAAGATGAACATTTTGTTAGGTCAAAGAAACCTTTTTGTTTGCATCCAAAATGAAGTATTTATAAAATATATTGGTATGTTTTCCTACCTTGACAAGTTCAGCTATATGAATATAATTTGATTTTTGATGATTTCTTAATCTTTAGAATTGTCTGATAATTGTTATTTTGGATACCAGTATCCTTCACGTTATTGCTTACGTATCAAAACTTAAATAAACTGTAGTGAATATGCATGTGTAACATATACACTAGAGATTGAATTTTGGAACCAAATCCTTGGTAGGAGCTTGCCATTTTAAAGTAGAAAACAAGAAGAAAATGACTTTTGGTTGCATCTGAGAGTATTGAGGTTTTATTGTTCCTAGCTTATTCCAATGTTATTCCTCTCATCTCTAGGAGTTCCCATCATTCTGGGAGTACCTGTATATACCACATGAAGAATATAATACAATGTGACTTTAAGATGTGTTTACAGAGGATATATATGAGTATGCTGTTAATGTAAATTGTTTGGCCTTTGCTGTATCCACTCTGTTACTGTTTTGCTGCCAAAATGTGAGAAATTGTCTTCTATTCCTCCTACATATTGTGCAAGTGTTAAAAAATTTGTCCATTTCTAGTACCATGTAATTCACCACATCCCTTGTCTACTTTTTAAGAATCAATATAAAGGAAAACAATACCTTAGGATAAGGTTTGCGTATATGTATATGTGTTTTTACTAAAAATTGGGCCCTTGCAGCCGTGTGAAGGCCTTGACTTGTCTGATTTACTCATCGTCTACAATTGCCATGGAGATGATGCTGTTTACTCTCTTTTGCTTTGTCCTAAATGGTATTTGAGAAATGAGGCCTGTGAATTTCCCTTTGTGATGATAACACGGTGAACTCAGCAGTATCTTGGATAAATGAGCTGACCATCTTGTCCCCACCCCCGTTTTGTCTACACGGTGAATCAGAAGTCTTGTCCATGTCTGCTTCAGTGTTTGCTATTTTATATTGATATCTGAGCATTTTGTTTTCTGTTAGCAATGTTCTTTGATGACATGTGTGGCCCTTTTGGTTGAATCTCTCCAAATGTGGGTCAGCTGCTGCCACCTGGCAAGTAACAGGTGATATGCTGAATCTCCTGTCCATTCTTATAACTATATCCTTCTTCATGAAATTCTGTAACTGGCTGAGTAATTATAGCTGTCATCTGTGCAGACACATGGGCTTAAGGATGTCTACAAAATTTTTAGACATTTTTGCAAAAGGGGAAAAAATAGTCTTGTAAATACTGAAACAAATCCATGAACTTTATTCTACTCTTGGGAAAAAAAAAAATTCTCCTTGGCTACAGAAATCAGATGAACTTGATTTGTGATGACCAAGGACATAAATGAAGATGGATTGAGGTGGAAAAATTCTGTCTCACAAGTGATCAATGACATCTGCCAGAGGTCATTACAGCTACTCTCAACTGTGAACATTCACCAGCTAAACTACTCACTTGCCACAACCAAATAACCTCTCTCAAAGTAAATCCAATACATCTGTATATACCTGTAGATAGAAACAACAAAAAATCCTGAAAAATTACTGTCAACCATCAGTTAAATCAAGGTGATGATAATTCTAAAGAACATTTAAATCACCATGGGCCTTGGTGAAATGACCTTGGAGGCCAGAATGGTGCAACAAGATGTTATTCACAAGTTTGGTATTTTTTTTTAAGACCCAGATAATCTCAGATACTCATCATGAGAATAAAGACTGTTGAAAATGAAATTAAAGCCAAGCAATAATGTGCCAAAAAGAGGCAGTTATACCAGCA